GTGGCCGGGCCCTGGAACTCCCTCCGGGCCTCCCTCGTGGGTGCCGAGGCGCACGCTGGGGCCGTGGCTGCTCGCGTGGGGCTGCACGAGAAGCCAGTCAGGCTCCGCGACCCCAGAGCGCTGTGCTGCACAGTCTCTCGGTGCCTCCTGAAAGTTCCAGACCCGTCCACAGCTGCCCGCTGCCCGCTGGCTCAGAGGCCGCGGGGCGGTGACCTCGTGCTGCACACGGCCCTCTCTTGCTTTGCCCTGCGCTCCACACTGAGGTCTTTAGACGTGACACTTGGCACTGTGGCATAGGAGGTGTGGCTGCCACCTGCAGTGCCAACATCCCATATGGGCGCCGGTTCAAGTGCCAGCTGCTCCACTTCCAACCCAGCTCTCTGCTGTGGCCTGGGAAAGCAGTAGAAGATGGCCCAAGTCTTTGGGCTCCTGCACCCATGTGGGAGACCTGGAAGAAGCTCCTGGCTCCTGGCTTTGGATCGGCCCAGCTCCAACTGTTGCAGCCTTCTTGGGAGAGAACCAGCAGATGAAAGATCTCTCTCTTTGTCTCTACTTCTCTCTCTCTCGCTCTCTGCCTCTCCTTCTTTCTCTGTGTAACTTTGACTTTCAAATAAATAAATAAATCTATAAAAAATAGTGAAAGGGTGGAAGTTTTTCCTCTAAGATCTGAAAAAAGGTAAGGATGTCGACTTTGCTTCTTCTATTCAACATTGTGTGTGCTAGAAATCCTAGCCAGAGAATTAGGCGAGAAAAAGAAACAAAAGGCATCAGGTTACAAAGGAAGGAGTGTATGTCTCTGTTTACAGATGATGTGATCTTTTATGCAGAAAACCCTAAAGAGCCTCCCACTAAAATAAAAAATGTTAGGACTAATAAGTGAATTTAGCAAAGTAGCAGGATGCAAAGTCAACACACAAAAACTAACTGAATTTCTATACACCAGCAATGAACAATCCCATTTACAGAAGCATTAAAAAGAATACTTCGGCGCTGGCACACCGGGTTCTAGTCCTGGTTGGGGCGCCAGATTCTGTCCCGGTTGCCCCTCTTCCAGGCCAGCTCTCTGCTGTGGCCAGGGAGTGCAGTGGAGGATGGCCCAAGTGCTTGGGCCCTGCACCCACATGGGAGACCAGGAGAAGCACCTGGCTCCTGGCTTTGGATTAGCGCAGTGCGCCAGCCATAGCGACCACTTGGGGGGTGAACCAACGGAAAAGGAAGATCTTTCTCTCTGTCTTTCTCTTTCACTAACACTGCCTGTCCAAAAAAACAAACAAACAAACAAACAAAAAAACTTAGGAATTAATTTGACCGAGGAGGTGAAAGAGCTATACAATGACAACTAGAAACATTGCTGATATAGATGAAAGGTGACATAGACAAATGGAAAAATGGAAACACACCCCATGTTTGTGGGTTGGAAGACAATGCTGTTAAGACATCCATTCTGCCCAGAGTGATTTACAAATTCAATGTAATCCCTAACAAAATCCAAATTATGTTTTTATGTTTTTTTTGCAGATAATAGTAAAGCTCATTCTAAAATTCATACAGCATCTGAAGTGACCCCAAACGTGCACAACAACCTTGGAAGAGGAAACCAAAGCTGGATGACACATTCCTCCAGATGTCCAAATTCACTACAAAGGCACCGAATCAAAACAGTGTGGCACTGGCACACGGGAGTCGGCACTGTGTCATTGTGGGTAAAGGCTGCCGCCTGCTGTGCCGACATCCCATGTGGGCGCCAGTTCTAGTCCCAGCTGCTCCTCTTTGATCCAGCTCTCTGCTGTAGCCTGGGAAAGCAGTAAAAGATGGCCCAAGTGCTTAGGCCCTTGCACCCATGTGGGTGACCCAGGAGAAGCTCCTGGCTCCTGGCTTCAGATTGGCTCAGCTCCAACCATTGCGGCCATTTGGGGAGTGAACCAGCAAAAGGAAGACATCTCTCTCTCTCTCTGCCTCTGCCTCTTTGTAACTTTGCCTTTCAAATAAATACATAAATAAATCCTAAAAAAGGACAGACAGACATGTGGACTAATGGAAGAGAACAGACAATGTAGAAATGAACCCCATACACGGCCAAATGATTTTTGACAAGGGGATCAAGAACATTCAATAAGGAAAAGATCATCTTGTCAAGCATGACTCAGGGGAAATCAGTTATCCATACACAGAATGAAGACCCCTTTCTAACACCGTACACAAAAGTTAACTCAGGGGCCACCTGAGCTAAGCCACTGCTTGGGACGCCCACATTCCACATCAGAGTGCTGGCTCAAATCCTGGCCCCTCCACCTCCGATCCAGCTGTCTGCTGACACTGCCTGGAGGCAGTGGGTGGTGGCTCATATGCTTGGGCCCCTCTGACCCACGGGAGAGACCAAGGGGGAGCTCCAGGCTCCTGGCGTTGGCCTGACCCAGCCCTGGCCGTTGTGGGCATTTGGAGAGTGAACCAGCAGATAGGAGCTCTGTCTCTCAAGTCAGAAAGAAAAGGTTAAAATGGTAAATTATATGCTACTTGCTTTTACTACAGTGAAAAATAATAATGGTAGGAGAATTCAAATGTGAGATAAATGGGAACTGTACTATTTTCGCTTTTTTTCTATAAATCTAAAATGTTATAACTGTTTATTTTAAAAGAGTTAAAATTTCGTGATTCAAAAGACACTATAAAGGAAGTAAAAAGACTTTCTAGAAGATGCAGTATTTTGCCTCGTAGGAGAGAGAGACCAGGGAAGTAGGCAGGGTTACTGATGTTGAATGTTTTTCATGTTCTTATTGGCCATATGTACGTCTTTTGTAAGGCATATGTTCAAATCTTCTGCACACTGGTATTTATTCATTCATTCATTCATTCATAATTGAAAAGCAGAGTAACAGAGAGAGACGGAGAGCTTCCATCCACTGATGCCTATAGCATCACTCCCCAGATGCCTTCAGCAACAGGGGCTGGGCCAGGACAAAGCCAGGAGCCAGGAGCACCATCCAGGTCTCCTGTGAGGGAGGCAGAGCCTCAGGACTTGAGCCGCCATCTTCTGCCTCCTCGGGTGTGTGTGAGCAGGAGGCTGGATCAGACGCGGAGTAGCCAAGACTGGAACCAGGCACTTTGATATGAGATACAGGTGTCCCAAGTAATGTTTTTTTATTTTTAATCTTTTTTTTATTTACTTGACAGGTGGAGCTATAGACAGTGAGAGAGACAGAAAGGTCTGGCTGGCACTGTGGCTCACTTGGCTAATCCTCCGCCTGCGGCTCTGGCACCCCAGGTTCTAGTCCTGGTTGGGGCGCCGGATTCTGTCCCGGTTGCTCCTCTTCCAGTCCAGCTCTCTGCTGTGGCCCAGGAGTGCAGTGGAAGATGGCCCAAGTGCTTGGGCCCTGCACCCACATGGGAGACCAGGAGGAAGCACCTGGCTCCTGGCTTTGGATCGGCACAGTGTGCCAGCCGTAGCGGCCATTTGGGGGTGAACCAACGGAAAAAGGAAGACCTTTCTCTCTGTCTCTCTCTCTCTCTCTGACTCTGCCTGTCAAAAAAAAAAAAAAAAAAAAAAAAGTCTTAATTCTGCGGATCACTCCTCAAATGGCTGCTACGGCTGGTGCTGCGCCAAGCTGAAGTCAGGAGCCAGGTGCTTCTTCCTGGTCTTCCATATGGGTGCAGGGACCCAAGGACCTGGGCCATTCTCCACTGCCCTCCCAGGCCACAACAGAGAGCTGGACTGGAAGAGGAGCAACCAGGACTAGAACCCAGTGCCCATATGGGATGCTGGTGCCACAGGCAGAGGATTAACCAAGTGAGCCACAGCGCCGGCCCCCTCAGCAATGTTTTAGCCACTGCACCGCGACCTCCATCCCACATTTGTATTATTAGATTGTCTAATTGTTAAGCTTTGTGTGTATTTTGTTTTGGGCTTAGAACAACAGGAATCGACTACCTTATGTTTCTGTAGATCAGCAGTATCACTGGGCTAAAATCAGGGGACCAGCAGGGCTGCATTCCTCTGGAAGCTCCGGGGGAGAGCCCAGCTCCTTCCTGTCCAGTGCCTGGGGGCTGCCTGCATCCCTTGGCTGTGACTACTTTTCCGCCTTCAAAGACGACATTGTAGCATCTCCAAATTTCCCACCGCCTCTGACCTTGCCTCTGACCTTCCCGCTCCTGGAAGAATCTTCATGTTTACATGGGGTGGAGCCAGGTAACCCAGGAAATCCTTCACTTAATCACGGCTGCAAAGTCTCTCCGTGCACCTAGAACAACACATCCACAGGGGATTGGGGATTCCATGTGGACATTTTGAGGGCAGCCATTATTCAACCTATAACACCCACAATCTATGATTAAGGGAAGAAAAGATAACAATTGGGGGGCGCTGTGGCACAGCAGGTTAATGCCCTGGCCTGAAGCACCAGCATCCCATATGGGTGCAGGTTCAAGACCTGGCTGCTCCACTTCCGATCCAGCTCTTTGCTATGGCCTGGGAAGGCAGTAGAGGATGGCCCAAGTCCTTGGGTTCCTGTGCCTGCGTGGGGGACCCAGAACAGGCTCCAGGCTCCAGGCTCCTGGCTCCTGGCTTCAGATTGGTGCAGCTCCAGCCATTGTGGCCAACTGGGGAGTGAACCATCGGATGGAAGACTGCCTCTCCTCTCCCTGTGTAACTCTGACTTTCAAATAAATAAATATTTTTTTAAAAAAAGAAAAGATAGCAATTAGAGTCATGTATATAGACTACTCTCATGTATGTCTAAAAAAGTCCCACAAAATACTACTGTGTTCTTTATATGTTCTGGGTCAATTTCTTTGACAGGCAGAGTGGACAGTGAGAGAGAGAGACAGAGAGAAAGGTCTTCCTTTGCCGTTGGTTCACCCTCCAATGGCCGCCGCGGCCGGCGCGCTGCGGCCGGTGCACCGCGCTGATCCGATGGCAGGAGCCAGGAGCCAGGTGCTTTTCCTGGTCTCCCATGGGGTGCAGGGCCCAAGCACCTGGGCCATCCTCCACTGCACTCCCTGGCCACAGCAGAGGGCTGGCCTGGAAGAGGGGCAACCAGGACAGAATCCGGCGCCCCGACCGGGACTAGAACCCGGTGTGCCGGCGCCGCTAGGCGGAGGATTAGCCTAGTGAGCCGCGGCGCCGGCTGGGTCAATTTCTTATTGCAAATATTGCAATAACATCTCTTATTGGAATTATCATCTCTCATGTTTTGACTTTCCATTTTCCAAATACATGTTTGGCAAAGCAGAAGAGTTCAATCTGATGATGTTAAATTTATTGACTTTTTAATAGTTTGTGTCTTTTGTGTCCCAAGAAATGACTGCTTTTCCAAGTCGCAGGTTTTGGCTTATATTCTGTTCTTGGTTTTTAGTGTTAGCTTTGATGTTGAGCTCAAGGACCGACTTCGAGCTGCTTTTGCATCTAATGTGAGGTAAGGCCCGAGTTCACTTTTTTATCCAGGAGCTCCAGTACAAGTTGCCAAGAAGTTCAGCTGTCCCCCCTTGAAATTCCAGGACATTTTTATTGAAAGCCAGTGGGCCCCACACCTGCGAGTCTAAGCCAGGATTCTATTCTGTTTCACCCATAGATGTTTACTAAATTTAAGAAGACTGAAATCATATCAAATAATCTTTCTCAACAGAGGTACGAAGCTAGAAATCAACAGCAAGAATCCTGGAAAATTCACAAAGAAGTGGAAATTAAACAGCCTGTTCATATACAACCAGTGCATCAAAGAAGAAATGAAAAACAGTTTAAATATCTTGAGAAAAATGAAACAGAAACACAACATAACAAAGGGGACACAGCAAAAGCAGTAGGCATTCAATGCCGCCATCAAAGAAGGCGGCTCTCAAACAACCTAACATATACCCCAAGGAAACAGAAAAAAGAACCAACAGCCCAAAGTAGCAAAGGAAGGAGATAACAGAGATAGAGCAGGAGAAACGGAGACAGAGACTAGAAAGGGTTTCTTGGAAAAACAGAATTAAGTGACAAATACTTCCGACAAACCAGCTAACCCAGAAGAAATGTATAAACAATTCGTGGAATCATATAACCTTCCAAGACTGTCAGGAAGAAACAAAAAACCTGAGCAGACCCGGTATGAAGGAGAATGAGTTAGTAACAAGAGATCTCCCATCAAAAGATGCCTTCACACCTGAATTCTAGAAATAATGGAAGGCTTGCATTATGGGAAAAAGCCCGGGTTTCAAAGCAAAGCCAGCATTAACTCAAGGAAAAGCCCGAAGCTGCACAATCAGGCAGTGGACTGGGTGCTCCGTGGGCTCAAGAGTGGGAAGCAGGGGCCGACGTTGTGGCGTAGCACCATGTGGGCACTGGTTCGAGTCCCAGCTGCTCCACTTCTAATCCAGCTCCCTGTTAATGTGCCTGGGAAAGCAGCAGCAGATGGCCCAAGTGGTTGGGCCTCTGCACCTATGTTAGAGACCCAGAAGAAGCTCCTGGCTCATGGTTTCAGCCTGGCCCAGCCCTGGCCATGGTGGTCATTTGGGGAGTGAACCAGCAGGTGGAAGATACCTCTCTCTCTCCCCTTCTTGCCCTGTAACTGCCATTTAAATAATCAATCAATCTTTTTTTTTTTTTTTTAAAAAGCTAAACCTTAGTTAACAAATGTGTTGAAAATTTATTAAAGAAAAAATAAGTGACACAGGCATCTCATTTAGAAATATGCAAGTAGGGGCTGGTGCTGTGGCGTAGTGGGTAAAGCTTCAGTCTGCAGTGCCGGCATCCTAAATGGGCCACTGGTTCGAGTTCCGGCTGCTCCACTTCCGATCCAGCTCCCTGTTAATGGCCTTGGAAAGCAGTGGAAGATGGTCCCAGTGCTTGGGCCCCTGTACCCACGTGGGAGACCCAGAGGAATCTCCTGGTTTCTGGCTCCTGGCTTCAGCCTGGCCCAGCCTGGCCGATGCGGCCATTTGGAGAGTGAACCAGTGGATGGAGTGTGGTGGAATGAGAAGGAACAAATCCACAGCAACAATGGTGGATGGAAGTCTTCTCTCTCTCTGCCCTTCCTTTTTCTCTCTGTAACGTGCCTTTCAAATAAATAAATCTCTTTTTATAGAAAAAAAAAAAAAGAAATAGGAAGTAACTACAGAAGGTAAAGGAGAGGGAAATCCTGGTTCCTAGAGAGCAGGAGTGGGGGTACGGGATGAACAATTTTTTTAAAAATTTTTTATTTATTTATTTAAAAGTCAGAGTTACACAGAGAGAGAAGGAGGGAGGGAGGGAGGGAGGGAGGTCTCCCATCTGCTGGTTCACTCCCCAATTGGCCGCAACAGCTGGAGCTGGGCCAGGCTGAAACCAGGAGCCAGGAGCGTCTTCTGGGTCTCCCACACAGGTGCAGAGGCCCAACCACTTAGGCCATCTTCCAGTGCTTTCCCAGGCCATAGCAGAGAGCTGGATAGGAAGTGGAACAGCCGGGACTGGAACCTGCGCCCATATGGGATGCTGGCACTGCAGGTGATGGCTTTACCTGCTACGCCACAGCATCGGTCCTGGGATGAGTAATTTCTCTTGTTGGTATTGGTCTTTGAGATTTTTTATTTTTAAATTATCATATGTATTATTTAATGTACCTGTGGCAACCCAAGATGCACACTGGCAGGAAGCTGGAATTGGACTCAAACCCCAGCACTCTGCTATGGGAAGTGGATGCCCCAAGCAGCAGCTCACCTGCTGCGTCAAACACCCGCCCCTTGGAAATGTCCCTGCTGCGTGACTGATTTGATTCTGGGCAGACGCTGCGGCTCAATAGGCTAATCCTCCACCTGCAGCACTAGCACCCTGGGTTCTAGTCCAGTCGGGGCGCCGGATTCTGCCCCAGTTGCTCCTCTTCCAGTCCAGCTCTCTGCTGTGGTCCGGGAGTGCAGTGGAGGATGGCCCAGGTGCTTGGGCCCTGCACCCCATGGGAGACCAGGAGAAGCACCTGGTCCTGGCTTCAGATCAGCGCGGTGCGCTGGCCGCAGCAGCCACTGTGGGGTGAACCAACGGAAAAAGGAAGACCTTTCTCTGCCTCTCTCTCTCACTGCCTACTCTGCCTGTCAAAATAAAATAAATAACATAAAATAAAATGATTTGATTCTGGAGCATTAGCGGGACAGCGCCACCAGGAGGCACTGTGCCTGGCCTCAAGTGCAACTGAGCTGTGAGCTGGACACACAGCTCTAGCTTCTGTCTGCTTTGGGGGTGGTGGTGGTTGGGGGGCAGTATGGAATTGCATCACCAAATGGAAGTTAAATACGCCCCTTGGTACTAGCCCGGAACTGGTTCTAGGACCTCCCGCAGATAACAAAACCCAAGGATGTGGGGCCTGTGTTTGCCTGCACCCCACATCCTGGGTTCAATACGTGACTGCAGCTCCTAACTCAGACTTCCTGCTGATGCAGACCCTGGGAGGGTCCCTGCCACCTGTGGGAGGCCCCAGCACCTGGCCCCAGCCTGGTCCCAGCCCGGCAGTTGGTGGAGTGAGCCAGCAGATATAGGTGCGCTCCCTCTATGTCTCTTCTCTCTCAATATAAATGTTAATAAATAAAGTAAAAATCTGAGGATGCTAAAGTCCCTTATATAAAATGGCATAGTGAGGCTGGCGCTGACAGTGGTTTAAAGCCCTGGGCTAGGGCCAGAATCCCATATGGGTGCTGGTTCAAGTCCTGCCTGCCCTACTTCCAATCCAGCTCCCTAATGCACCTGGGAAAGAAGTGGAGGACAGCCCAAGTGCTTGGGCCTCTGTACCCACGTGGAAGACCGGAGGAAGCTCCTGGCTTCAGATGGTTGCAGGCATTCATTTGGGGAGTGAACCAGCAGATGGTAGACCGATCTCTCTCTCTCTCCCCCTCCCTCTCTCTGTAACTCTTTCAAATAAATTTAAAAAAGCTTTTTTAAAAATGAAATAAAATGGCATAGTGCTTGCACAGATCCTGACACATCACACAATGCAAACGCTGGCTGATGAATGACATGGGAAAAAGTCCACACGGCACCACACACACACGGCCACGCACGTGACCCACGGCTGCTTGGATGCCCAGATCCCGAACTCGGTCACACACAGGGAGGCTGACTGTGTCGGTTTCCCCAGCTCTCATTTCAGAACAGAGCAAACAGCACTTTTACTGGGTCATTTTATCATCGTAGGTTCAAAGTACGCTTTGAAGTGGGTCTGTGGAAGCCAGCATTGAACGCTCACCTGGACACGCAGCGTCCCGTCCAGCTCAGCCTCTGCTAGGCCAGGGAGTCCCCCCAATCTACAGATGCAGATTCCCAAGCTCAGCTCCCAGCAACTTGGTTCAGGGGCCCTGGTGAGTCCTGGACCCTGCCCTGAGGATGGCCTGACTTCTGCCCGTCGTCAGGGTGTGTCTCCCACCTCCCGGATTCTCGGAGGGGGGCCACTCGTGCTTTCCAAAGACCGGGGCCTTGGCGTCCTGCATGCTGGCTGTGCTGTGTGTTCATGGTCTGGCCAAGCACGGGAGCTGGGTCAGAAGCCACTTACCTTGTGGCCCGGCCTGGGTGGGGACTGCTGTCCCCCGCCTGCTGGCATGGGAAGAGGTGACTGGGGTGATGCTGCCAAGGGTTGGTGACCAGAAGTGGCAGCTTGTGAACTTCCGCAAGACCTGAAGGGGACAGAAGTGCCCTGAGACCAAAGGTCGTGAGCCCATGCAGTCGAGGTGAGGTGTCGGTAGAGGGCTCCTGTGTGCATGGCGCAATGTTGGTTTTCCAACCACCCAATGACCAGAACAAGACCACAGGTGACCAAGGCCAGGACCATCTCAATGACCTTTTCCCCCTCTACCGTTAACAGCAGTGGGTGGGAGAGCACCACAGGGTATGAGGAGGGCAGGCGTGCGTGTATGAGCCACCCCAAGCTCAGCAGTGGGAAACTAGAACCGCTTTTACAGTCACAGAATCTGTGGCTCAGGAAAACTTTTTTTTTTTTTTTTTTTGACAGGCAGAGTGGACAGTGAGAGAGAGAGACAGAGAGAAAGGTCTTCCTTTGCCGTTGGTTCACCCTCCAATGGCCGCCGTGGCCGGTGCGCTGCAGCCGGCGCACCGCGCTGATCCGATGGCAGGAGCCAGGAGCCAGGTGCTTTTCCTGGTCTCCCATGGGGTGCAGGGCCCAAGCACTTGGGCCATCCTCCACTGCACTCCCTGGCCACAGCAGAGAGCTGGCCTGGAAGAGGGGCAACCGGGACAGAATCTGGCGCCCCAACTGGGACTAGAACCTGGTGTGCCGGCGCCGCTAGGCGGAGGATTAGCCTAGTGAGCCGCGGCGCCGGCCGAAAACTTTTTTAAGATTGATTATCTATTTACTAGAGAAAGAGAGACATCTTCCACCTGCTGGTTCACTCCCCAAATGGCTGCAACAGCTAGGTCTGGGCCACGCTGAAGCTAGGAGCTCCATGCTGCTCTCCCAAGTGGGTGGCAGGGACCCAAGCACTTGGGCCGTCTTCTGCTGCCTTCCCAGGTACATTCCCAGGGAGCTGGATCAGAAGCGGAGCAGCCAGGACTGGAACCAGTGTTCTGATACGGACGCCAGCACCTCAAGTGGCGACTTAATCTGCTGTGCCCCATCGCCAGCCCCGCACCAGGAATCTGGAAGGAGCCCAGGAGTCTGGGTCTTCTCCGCTCCACGATGCCTGGAGACTTCAACAGCTGCCACGGAGACCAGAGGGTTCTTCACTCGCTCACTGGCACCTGGGCTGGATGGCTCAGGAATGGGACCACCCGGAGCCCGACTTGGGGGCTCCCCACCCTGGGGTCCCAGGTGGTGGGACACCTTACACAGTGGCTCTGTGGACGCCACCTGGCCTTCCTGTCCCAGCCCGGGAAGTCAGAGCGTCACTTCTGCCACACTGCACTAGTCAAAGCCTCACAAACCCACCCAGACTCAGGAACATGGAGAGAGATGACCGCACTACCTCTCGGCGGAGAAGCGTCCAAGAACTTCGGGCAGTGTTCTGCAACCACCACCGCAGGCCGCCTAGAAAGCACACGAGAAGCCTCAGTAACGGAAGAACAACTCCCAGGGCTGAAGAAAGGCTGAGTGACATACTGAGAAAGGACCCTCCCAGTGCCAAGGAGGAGGAGAAAACCATGCAGCCTCAGACCCATCTTCGTGATATTCCCCAAAAACCACCAGAAAGAAAAAGAACTTGCCTGCAAAGGAACAACAAACACATCCATCAGACTTGCGGTCGGTCAGCAAAGCTTCAACTCAAGTGTGAGTCGAATAAACGCATTTTCAGACACAGGAGAGTTCAGAAAGACTGCCATGCCCAAACCACATCTAAGAATTTTGATTTTAAAAAACATTTATTTAAAAGGCAGAATAACACAGAGCAAGTAGGACAAAGAGAGAGAGAGAGAGAGAGAGAGACTGAGAACGAATCATCCATCCACTGGTTCACATCCTGACTGGCTGCAATAGTCAGGGCTGAGCCAGGGGCCCAGAACCCCACCTGAGGCCCCCACATGGATGGCAGGAACCCAAGCGCTTGAGCCCTCACCCACTGCCTCCCCAGTGCATAGCAGGAAGCTGGACAGGAAGTCAGCTCTGACTCCTGACCCCAGCTTCCTGCCGGTGCAGACCTGGGAGCCAGATGATGGCTGCCGCCCACATGGGAGTTCCCACCCACATGGGAGACCTGCATTGAGTTGCCGGCTCCCAGCTTTGGCCCTGGCCCAACACTGGCCATCAGGGGCCTTTGCAGAGTGAACCGGAAGATGAGAACTGTTTTGTCTTCCCGATGAGTAGAAAATAGTTCAGAAAATGGTGAATTTGGAGACAGACATAGGCTGGGGAGACAACGTGAAGATGGTCACACTGCGATGGAACTGGATGGAAGCTGGTCCCGAGTCTACAAGCCAAGGCGCTTGAGGACGGCAGGCACTGACAGCCAGGAAGACACAGTGCCCACACCTAGAGCCCTGGACAGCACCTTGGCTTCGGACCCGCAGCCTCCCCGACAGCAGGTTTCTGCCCTTTGGTCACGAAGTTCGTGGCACCTTTTCACAGCAGCCCTGACAAATGAGTGAGAGCATTAGCTGACGTGCTGTATTTTTAACTCACTTCACCTGATCTCCCCGCTGGACCGCAGCCTCCACAGGGACAAAAAGACTTCTGTCCGCTTGGTTCTCTCTTGCAACCCCTGTCGGTGCCTGAAAGCGTGGACGACACAGAATGGGCGAGGGAATATTGGCTGTAGCCCTGCATGGACCACACGCGTCAAAGGACTCAATGTCTACACGGGGGACAGAGGCAGGTGCAAATAACAGAACACACGGCTCACGGCACTCTGAACAAATACGCATTTATTTATTGTTTTCCACATAAAAACCTAGCGGTCAGCAGCCCCTCAGCCGTGACATCAAAACCCACCTTCTATCAAGCTCTGTGTGCTCACTTCCGCCCTTCTGTGCCTACACACGGTAGGGGGAAGGTGGAGACGGGCGGATGGCGATGCGGGCTTCCCTGCACTGAAGAATCGGGAAGTGGGGCCTCCTCCAGCATCTGTGGCCACAGCACTCACCCGGCCGCCAGAGCTGGGAAGCAGCAGGGGAGGCGGCCGAGCACTCTAAGAGGAGGAGAGTGAGGGGCAGTACCACGAGTGTCTGCCTCGAGGCATGGGAGGGAACGGAGCTGGGACAGCACTGACTAGCGGGAAGTGGTGGAGAACACCGAACCCCTCTCTCACACCCTACATGAAAAACCAATCCCAAGTCGATTAAATGCTGAATTTGAAAGGCAACATTTTTTAAGCTTCTAGAAGAAAAATCTTTGGGAAGAGATCAGTAAATGACATTCAAACATCAACTGCAATCAAACAGCATCGCTGGGAAAGCGAAGAGCTAAGCAAACTCTCAGTAACTGCAGTGCCCAGAGGGCTGCTATGCAAGAATTTCTACACACCAGCAAGGAAGAGAAAAAAGGGGCAAAAATGAAACCGCCAGAGGACACACAAATGATTAATAAAAAAAAAAGACTCTCAATCTGACTAGCGGAGGAAAGCACACCAAAACCTGTGCCCCTCAGAGTGCGAGAAATGGAGAGCTCTGACGCCTTGGGGCGGGGCCATCTCAGCAGCCCCCAGCACACTGGGAACAGAGCGAGGCCAAGCCGCTCTGACGCCGACCCGGTTTCCAGCCAGAGCCTGGTCATCTGCAGGACAGGCCAGGAAGAAGCACTCAGCTCGACGCGACCGGACTCAACAGTACTGAGCTTTAAAAGGCCGCACCCCACCTCAGTCTTCAAAAATGAAAAGCAAGACACTGTATTTAGATTCGTTCCTCCACGGTCCGATCTTTAAACAACACACTGGAAGTGCGACTCAGCAACCCCTCCGGGAGCCAGGAGGGAGCCGAGGGCATCCTTCCTTCCCACCTGGCAAGGCATGTATGCTTGTATTTAACTTCTGCTTGATGACGTAACTTAAAGTTTAAATGCTCACGGCAAAAGCCTAATGACACCATCATGTCCCTGTGTGTGAGCACACACTGCTGGGAAAAGCCCTCTAGGTATGAACTTCGAGACGACGGACTGCTCATGGATGCACATAAAGACTGCGCTCCGGGGCGCCCACCCCGACAGCTAAGTACAGAGCGGCGGATCACTGCCACTCACGCACAACACCTGGAGTCAGCTACAGGCTCCTGGCTCCAGCCTGGCTCAGTCTGGCTGTTGCAGGCATTTGCGGAGTCCATGGGCAGATGGAGGATCGTCTCTCTCTGTCAAATGGGCAGGGCAGGGCAGGGCAGGAAGGAGGAGAAAGCAAAGAAACAAGCCAACAGCCGAGGGGTGTCCAGGCTGGATGCCCAAAGAACCAGGCAAGCAGCTCTGAAAACAGCCCCTGCCCCAGCTCCACGTGGCTTAGTAAACCAGAAGTGGAGGAGGCAGGCTGCCGGCAGCTCTCCAGATGAGATCCTGGTAGCCAAGGCGGAGAACCACACAGTACCAAATACCACTGTGCCTAATACGGGCCGACGGCTGTGAAGAGTGGCACACAGTAAGCACTCAAGGTTTGCTGTCTTGTTCAAATAAAGAAACTATTCTGGGGAAGGCAGGCTGTGAATTATCTCAACCCAGAGGCTGCTGGGAGGGAAACAGCTCAACCGCCCCGGCCCCCGTGAGTAATCTCTGGACACCGAAGCTGCTAGACCGAGAGTGTGTTTCGGGAAGGACGCGGGGCAGCTGGCAGCAGTCAGACCGCAAGGCTGGAAGGAAGAGGTCGTTCTTGGGCCTGCTTCACGCTGCTGCACTATCAGGTCTCTGCCTGGTGACCTTCCTCACGAGGCCAGCCTGCAACAGGAAGGCAGGGCTTGCTCTGCAAGCGAGAGCCTCAAAGGTCACTGAGCCGAGTGGGAAGGAGACAATGGAAACAAGAAGTCACTGACTCCACGAGGTCCCCAAGAGGGGCAGGCTGGGACCAGGGCCGGGACCAGAGCCGGGGGCGGGGACGCCCTGATCCAGGTGGGAGCGGCTGAATGGTGACGCTCTCACCTCAGCTGCTGGCTGCCTCCCGCCGGCGGCCATCTGTGCCTCCCAAGGCACTCCAAAGGCAACAGGACAGCCCGTCCTCCTGACGCCCAGCAGTACCTTACAGACCTTCCCTAGAGCTTCCGCTCGCTGAACTGCCTACCCTGGCCTAGCTTTGGGCTGAGGTCACCCCCTTGCCCCAGAGACCCGGAGCACATGTGGGATGGCGCATGCCCCAGGTCCCGCCAGCCAGGCGACGCGGGAAAAGCACTCCGTGGCCCCCTGAGAGTCTGGAGACGAGCCTCTGCTGCAGGCCGCAGGGAGTAAGGCTGCAGCCGCCAGGGAAGAGGAGCCAGCCCCCAGCGACAGCCGCACAGCTGAGGTTGGTTATTCCACTTTATTCAGCAAACAGTTGCACCCTGTGCCCCTCCCAGCTGCTCCTCCAGCCCTGCTTGAGGCCTGTCTTGGGAAGGAGCTGGGGGGCCAGGAGGGAAGGCCCAGGTTCCACCCCCCCAGGCCTTGTCTGCCACCACACACACCACACCTCGGAACAAAGTCACCGTGCTGTATCCTCAGCAGCCTGCCAGTGTTGGCCGGCGGCCGGCAAGGCCTCTGGCTGGCTCAGGCGAGGCCCCAGCTCCCAGGCCACCATGCAAGGGCCGCCCCCTCCTGCAGTGGGGGATGCCGAACCCGGCACCCTGGCCCTGCTGCCTGGGCCTGCTGGGCAAGAAGCAAATATACGAAAATACTTTAATCATTTCTTCAAAACAGTTAAGAAATAAGGTCGTCTTGTTTTGCTTTTACAATCCCAGTAAAAAAAAAAAAACAAAAAAAAACAAAAAAAAAACAAAAACAAAACCAAAAACCAAGTTCACATTAGTGCCTGGGCCCGTCGGCCCCGCCCAGCGCTCAGTAGAAACGCTTGTTGCGCTCCTGCCGCTTCTGGAACACCACGGCCCCCACCACGGCGCAGACGATGATGCCCAGCAACGCGCACAGCAGCAGCAGGAACACCCGCCACCCTGTCAGGGGCCCGCTGCGGAAGTTCCCCGTGGGGTCGTCCACGTTGTCTGCAGGAGAAGAGGGGGAGGGGCGTCAGCACCGCCGGCCAGGCTCTGGGACCCAGCACCGCAGTCCCAGCGGCGGGGTTCCACACACACCCAGCACGTGGGGCCTGGGTTCTGCTCACAGCTCCAAGAATGAGGGTCGGAGGTCAAGTGAAACCCATCTCAGCTGAGCTCTGAGGGCCACAGGAGCTGGGTGAGGGCAGGACCAAGGAGCCTGGGATGCGTTCTGCTGCAGAAAGCTGGTTAAAACCGGCGATTCCCAGGCTCCCTTGGATAGCCCCACTCCATGCTGGGAGACCCAGAGATCAGCCCACGCTGTGGTCTGAGGTCCCCACCTGGAGAAACACAGCCCTGGCCACAGGCTACCCTCTCCGCCCACAGCCTCCCGGGGGTCTCCCAGATGCTCAGCTCGCTTCCCCCCAACCCCCAGGTGCATGGTGTCTTGGGGACCCTCACACTGTGGACCAGGCTCTATCAGACACTCCTTCCAGAGTCTGGCCAAGGAACTGGCTTGCCTGAACCCCATTTCTGCAACTCTGCCTGCTCCCCTACAAAGACTTGGGGGTCTGCTCAGGCCTCGGGCCCCAGGCTTGCCTCTTGGTCACACCCCCATAGCCCACTGGCCAGGGTCAGCCATAGGCCAACACCTCCCTGCCTGCACCACCTGACCCTCAGCAGCCCTGCCGACCCACGCTCACCATGGGCCTCTGGCCTGCACAGCCACGGGTTGAGGTGGCTTCCTGGGTGGGGGGCATCTCCCTGGCCCCCTCAGACACTAGGCTGAGTCCCGTGGGACCTGATGCCCACGTCACCAGCACCCAGCCCACAGCTAGGCAGGGAGCGGAAGCTTCGGGAACACCTACTGCAGGAGGGATGGAAGGGCATCTGAGAACCGGTCAACTCTGGCCTTCTCAGCGGGGAGCGGAGTGGGGGCGAGGAAGCAACACAGACAACGGCTCTGAGAGCCCTCAGAACCCAGAGGGTGCAGAATGGTGGTCTACTGCTGAATTTTCCTGGACCTCACAACATCCAATCTCCAAAATGTGAGATGGCACGTGAATGGTGGACTCTAACGTCCATCAAGTGGGAAGACACTGGGCGTGGGACCCAGGGCTGGGCCAAGCCCCTGCTCCCTGGCCGGCTCCAGCCACAGGCATGGGCGGGGGGGCTGAGCTTCTCCACACCCAGGGGCCTTAGCCCCATGGTACCACCGGGAGGAGGCATGGCAGCTCATCAGTGCCAGGGGAGGAGCTCAGGCTTCCGGGTCTTCAGGAGCCCAACGCCCAGGCCTGTCTCCCGCTCTCTCACCGAGCCCTGAGGGACCAGTCTCCCAGCCGGCACCACCAGGCAGCCCAGCACAGGAGGAAGCGGATGTGAGGGGAGGAGCTGCTGCCGCCTCAGCCACCGCACGGCCAGGGTGTGTGATGGAAAGGCTTTGGAGACTTCTTCCCGCCTCGCTCACTCACTCAAAGATGCAACAGAACTGACCAGACTCGAGCTGCTTCTGCGACCCGGGCAGGCGGACCCCGGGCCAGACCACAGCCGCGGCTGCACCACGCCGCGCACGCGCATACCTTTGGGCGACTTGAGGAAGTTGACGCTGGGCTCGATCTTGGTCCAGTCGATGTTCTCCTCATCGGGCGTGTGCTCTACCATCAGCTGGAACAGCTTCATGGAGATGATGTCATGGTTATCTGCAGACAGAGAGGGAGTCGGGAACAGCCCGCACTCACGGCGCCTGGCCCTCCACAGAGAAGCTGCAGCCCAGCGCGTGAACTGGCCACTATGCACGGTCACCGGGACAAGTTGGCGAGGACGTGGTTGGCACAGACGACTTGCTGCTGGGCGACAGGGTGCACTGGACACAGGGACGAGGTCCAGCATGACCGTCCTGGGCCTGATGGAGGAGCCTGACCCTCCTCAAGCAGGCAGCTGCCAGGTGCTCCTGCCAGACCCCGTTTGGATGCAGACGCACGACTTGGCAACCAGCTGAGGGTCAGCCCCAGCACGCCATCAGCCAACTGTGTCTGAGGGGACTCGGAGAGGGCCTGGCCTGGCCAGTGCAGCCAGGGGCAGGCAGGAATCTCACCGTAACACAAACAGGCCACCTCATTTTAGAAAGGAGGGGATGAGGCTCAGAGCCACGACCTGGCCCCCCGAATTCAGCTGTAAGCACAGTCCGAGGAACGGCCTCATCTGTAAAGATCCCTTCTCTGACCGTTAGGAGTCAGGAAGCCTGTGGAACCATGAAGGGAGAACTAGGGTGGGGCCACACGGCACCTGACGGCTCTGCAGACAGACTCAGGTCCCAGTGGGCTGCTGCCGCTTCTTGCTGGGCATCCTGGGTGTAGCCATTACCTAAAGGAACTCGCACCTCCCACCACTGCCTGGTGCCCCCACCAGCTCCCCCAGCCACCTGCCAGCACTTCAGTGGCCTGCTCCTGACAGCCCGGAGAGCATCCCCAACCACACATCAGGCACCTTCCAGAGACAGACGCTTCACACACTGTCAGGTGAAATGCAGGTAACCTAGGGTCGGGGCAGGGGCGGGGACAGGGGTGGGGACGGAGACCCAGACCTGAGCCAATAGCAATGAAACCGAAGCAGGGCAGGGCTGACGAGACCACTCTTTGCTCTTTGGGGCATACAGGTGACATTTCCCTATTACAAACTTTAAAGCAAAACCTCCCAACAATGGACATTATGGAGACTATCAGGACCCAAGCACCCTTCTGGTGACAGGGGAGGCGCCTGGTCAGCGGGCAGGCTGCAGGCCCTGGGAAGCTTTGTCCGGAGGATAAACAAGCCCTCTGCTGGGTTTCCCACGTCAGCAGGAGCTGGCTCCAGGCCTGGAGTCTGCTGCATGCCCCCAGTAGCACTGGGAGCCACAACCACCCAGGCTTGGTGTCCCAGCAAAGCCAAGAAAGCCGGAGGCACCTCAGTGCTACCAGGCACCCACGGTGGACCAAACGAGATAGATCTTGGCTTTATGGCGCTGACGACTGTCACCCATGACAAAGTCAACTGCGTGGCAGACTCAAATGATAAGTGCTATGAAAAGGAATAGAGCCATGAAAGGCAATGTGTGTGCGCTAGGGACTGGACAAAGGGTACAACGAGGGGAGGCTCCGCTGAGGTGACTCCTAAGTGACTCTGAAATGAGGCTGGAAATGGGGGTCTGGCGTTGTCTTACAGTAGGTGAGGAGCTGCCTGCAACACTGGCATCCCAGCAAGTGCCAGTTTGAGTCGCAGCTTCCTGCTCATGCATCTGGGAAAACAGCGCAAGATGGCCTGGGTACTCGGGACCCTGCCACCTAACTGGGAGATGTCGATGGAGTTCCTGGCTCCAGGCTTCAGCTTGGCCCAGCCCCGGCTACTGTGACCATCTGGGGAGTGAACCAGCTGATAGAAGGTCTCTTCCTCTCTCTGTAACTCTGCCTTTCAAACAAATAAAAAAATCTTGGGAAAAAAAAAAAAAAAAAAAGGCTGGAGACAGGAGGGTGCTGGTGTTTATGGAGCTGCTGGAGGGCGCTGTGTGCAGGGGGTACAGAGAAGAGGAGGGGGATGAGGAGGGCTGGGGGCAGGGCCTGGAAAAACTCTATCGTATGGTACCCTCAACTCTGCCTGAGACAGCAGCCACGCTGAGCCCAGGGCAGGGCAAGACCTCACGCGCTCTCCACGGACTCACTCGGGCCGCTGTGCTGGAGACATCGTGGGTGGGTACTGGCACGGCCTGCCAGGCAGTGAGGAGCGACTCTGGGAGTGCCTAGGGTCTGGCTCAGAGCTGGGCGCGGAGCCCTGCCCATCTGGACTCACCAGACAGATCACCGGTGCCAGCTGAGGCTCCGAAGTAGTAGCCGGTGGGCAGCCGCACTCCCGTGATGTCGATGCAGTTCTTCCACTCGTTCTTGTCCTCCAGGTCCGTCATCACCTGCGGCCGGCCAGCACATCAAGCACACCCCCAGGCCAGGCCGGCCCACCCCCGGCTTCCCCGCCTCGCGCCAGCTCACCGTCAGCCGGCCCCGAGAGTAGCGCACAGCCAGGAAGGTATCGTGATCCCGGTTGCGGAAATCAGCCGTGCAGCCCGCCAGCTCAGTCCAGCGCCCATCCTTGCTATGGTCGTAGGACAGGGAGCCATTGTTCACCATCACCGAGATGTACGGGAACACGCGCTGGGACCAAGACACCGGTTACTCCGCAGGCAGCTCAGCCTGTGGGCGGGGGCAGGGCACCCACCACGCCAACCCTGGAGGCTCCTTCTGTGCAGAGACTAGGGAGGTCCTAGCCCCCCCAGCCCCCCCGGCCCCAGCCAACTGCCAAGGCCTTCCTCTCCTACCTCAGTAGTCTCATCGTTGGGATATGTGTCCAGGAAGATGGCCAAGCCATGGAAGTTATCTTTGCTTCCAAACACAGGCCCTAGAATTTTATGAGGAGACGTTCTCATCATGGGCGACACTGGAGGTGTCCGTGGCACCCGAAGGGCCAGGGACGTCATGTGGGGTGGGGGACGAGAGGGTCCAGTCCACCAGCCATTCACCCAGGAGACACGCCCTTGAGAGGAAGCTGAGCCGGGGAGCAGGGAGGCTTTTCCCCAGGGCGTGGCAGAGTGGCTGGCGCTCAGGGTTGAAGCCTGCACTGCAAGGGGACAGCCACCTGGCCCTGCACTGAGGCCAACAGCTGCTGGTCAGGGAGTAGCTGGTCTATGGGGCAGGAAGGACCCCTATGGAGGAAACTGTCCACCAAACCAGGGGCAGCAAACTCAGCAAAGCGCCACAGGGGGCACTAGGCTCTGAGGCCTCTCATGGTCTCTGCTGCTCAGTCTTCATCTGTTTGCCTTTTTCCTCATTAAGCTTTGTTTTTAAAAGGTCTCAGAGTCTTGTGACAGAATTTTGGTCAAGTTGCTTCTATGTGTTTTTGCCTTTTTTTTAAAAAATAACCGCCAGGGTGGGCATTACAGCAGTGCAAGTTAAGCCACCGCTTGGGACAGCCCACATCAGAGCGCCTGGTTCAAATCCTGGCTACTCCACACTTCCAATCCAACTTCCTGCTGATGTGCCTGGGAGGCAGCAGATGGTGGGCCGAGTACTTGGCTTCCTGCCACCCATGTGGGAGACCGAGTACAGTTCCTGGCTCCTGGCGAGTGAGCTACAAGATGGAAGATGGCTTTCTCTCTGTCTCTCCCTCTAACACTCTTTTAAAAGAATGAATGATTCAATGATTGAATGAGTAAGTCAGTAATAGGTAAGTATTTAAATGGTGAGATGGTCGAAACCTGGTCCCAAAGGGCACCATGGGCACTGCAGGACCAGCTGCTCTCCCCTGCAGTAGCACAGGACTTGGTCTCCTGACAGCGGCGCACAGTGGGGCAGAGCCACACGAGCCCAGGGCCACCTGCTTGTCCTGCCCGCCCCCACCTTCCTGGGGGTCCGGCTGCCATGCCTGCACCTATACCCCGTCTCCGGGCCCAGCAGGGCCAACCTAAGCGAGCACTGCCCCACCTGGCACAAGGCGGTCCCGGGTGTACCACAAGGCGATGCCGTCTCCATGAAGATTCTTCTTGCCCGTGCCGTGGACTTTGAAGTGGACGTGCATCTCCCAGTCCTTGAGGAAGCACGGCTGTGGGAGAGCGAAGAGGCTGTTCAGAGCTCCCTGGGTGGCCCAGCACAGATCTCAACTTCCCCCCACCCCACCAAGATGGGGCACTTGCTGGTACAAGGCCAAGAGGCAGGATTATGAGCGTCACCTGCCACTGACCTCAGACACCCCCCACCAAGGATTCGGGAGCGGCTTCTCCTGCCCTCCTCCTAGGCTGTCTGCTTCACGCACTTTGATCACTCTCGCCAACACCAGCCAAACCCATTGCCCTGCTTCCTCCCCAGCCCCACCACTCCAACCCTGGAATCTTGTGGGAGAGGTGCACCCTCCACGTGAGCCATCTAGCTTACAGAAAAGAAGGCAGAGGCAGAATTACTGGTCCTCGGCAGGGAAGGGGTAGTCTTGATTCCACGCAGGTCTGACTCTGACACTTCTGCTCTGCCTTCTCTACTTCCCTCTGCCTTCAGGACCTCAACTGCACCAAGTGCTCTCCGGTCTCCCACCCGCATGCCCTCCCTTCTGACCAGCCTTCCTAAGTGAGAAAGGCAGGCTGGGTCGGCAGCTGCCGGGACTCAAACCCTGTCTGGCTGACCGCAAAGCTCACCCCTCGGCCAGTACACGTCCTGCCTCCTGCAAACCCACCCCGCCTAAGTGCGGTACCAGAATCGGTGCTGGGGGCTGGGCAGGGCTGTGCCCTGGGACTCTGGACCACCAGATGTGAGGAAGCAGATTAGCAGCTGTGACAACTGGGAACAGCGGCTGGTGAAACTAAGGGGTCAACACACACTCTGACGAGAATCCAGTTTGAGAGAGTCTGCTGATGGTATGTGAGCAGCGATGACATGAAGACCCATCAGCAAGGCAAACCAAAACGAGGCTGTGGACCCATCAGACCAGCAGCTATTAAGATGATTCGTATCGAGTGTGGGGGCAGCATAGTGGGTAAAGCCACTGACTGGGACATCCGCATCCCACAGGGCTGCTGGCTTGAGTCCCGGCTGCTGTACTTCCGATCCAGTTCCCTGTTAATGGCCTGGGAAAAGTAGCAGCAGACAACCCAAGTGTTGGGACCCCTGCACCCACACGGGAGACCAAGATGAAGCTCTTGGTTTTGGCCTGGCCCAGCCCTAGCTGTTGTGGCCATCTGGGGAGTGAACCAGCAGATAAAGATCTCTCTGGGGGGCCAGCGCTGTGGCACAGTAGGGTAATCTTCCACCTGTGGCACCAGCATCCCATATGGGCACCAGTTCGCATCCCAGCTGCTCCTCTTCCCATCTAGCTCTCAGCTGTGACCTGGGAAAGCAGTAGATGGCCCAAGTGCTTGAGGCCCTGCACCTATGTGGGAGACCTGGTAGAAGCTCTTGGCTCCTGGCTGCGGATTGGTACAGCTCCAGCCGTTGCAGCCATCTGGGGAGTGAACCAGTGGATGGAAGACCTGTCTCTCTCTGCCTCTCCTTTTCTCTCTGTGTAACTCTGCTTTTCAAGTAAATAAATAAATATTTTTTAAAAAATAAAGACATCAAAGCTAGGGGCTGATACTGTGGCACAGTGGTTAAGCATCCCACATTGGAGTGCTACTTCGAGTCCTGGCTCCTCCGCCTCTGACTCAGCTCTCTGCCAATGCACCTGGGAAGACAGCAGATGTCCCAAGCGGTTGAGCCCCTGCCACCCATGTGGGAGACCAGGATGGAGTTCCTGGCTCCGGCCCAGCCCAGTCCTAGCTGTTGTGAGCACTTGAGAAGCGAACCAGGGAATGAAGATCTCTCTCTGCCTCTCTGTCACTCTGCCTTTCCAATAAATTTTTAAAAAAAGATATCAAAGATAATGGGGGGAATTACAAAACAGTATCAGTGCTTGTTCTCATTTAAAAAAAGGGAGTGGGCACTGTGGCACAGCGTGCCAACCCACTGCCTGGAATGCACACGTCCCATATCAGAGCTACTGGATTTCCTGCCTCTGCTTCAAATCAGCTAATGCACCTTCTCGCTAATGAGCCTGGGAGGCAGTGGACAGGCCAAGTACTTGGGTTCCTGCCACCCACGTGGGAGACCAAATACAGTTCCGGGCTCCTGGCTTCAACCCGGCCCAGCCCCAGCTTTTCCAAGCACGGTGATGGAAGATCAGTCTCTCACTTCCCCTCTCTGTTACTCTGCCCCTTAAGTAAATAAATGAAACTTCAAAAAAGTTCAGTTTATAGGTATAGTTGAAGAAAAAAGTAAAGAAATATAAACGAATAGTAACAACAGGTAACTTCGGGGCAAGAACTAGGGGGAATGTTTACTTTCTGTGCCTGGATATGGTATAGTAAACAAATTCTGTAATCAGAAAAAACGCAAGCTGGGGTCAGGTGTCTGGCCCAGCAGTGAAGACACCACATTCCACGATGCAGCGCCTCGTCTGAGTCCAGATTTCCAATCCAGTTTCTTGCTAAGGCGCACCCTGGGAGGCAGCAGACGATGCTCCAGCGCTTGAATCCCTGTCACGCACACAAGAGGTCTGGGCTGAGTTCTAGGCTCGTAGCTCGGCCTGGCCCAGCTCTGGCTGTGCGGGTATTCGGGGCACGAACCAGTGGATGGAAGGTGTGTGTGTGTGTGTGTGTGTTTACAAATAAAGTGAAAATAAATACACAAATGAATGGACAGGAAAAAAAACTGAAAATAAAACAGAACCTGCTCTCCAGGAGAGAGGAACAAAAACTTGGAGGCCAAGGCCCACCAAGGGTTATGGAAGGCTGTGCTCTGGGTTGCCGGCAGCCCCTCTGCTGCCACTTCCCTTCTGACCCCCTGGGGAGGGGCCTGGCTGCTTCCTCAGCCTCCCCCTGAGCCACCCCTTCATCTGTGAGGACCGGCCCACCCCAGCTACAGCAGGTGTCCATGGCTACTAGGAAGACAGCAGGTGTTCCGGCAGAGTTTGCTGTGTCTCCCAGAGCGGAGTGAAGCCTCTCTCCAGCTCAGTGCAGGAAGGGGTGGTTCTTGTGAAATACTAGACAGAAGACTCTAAGAGTTCCACACAACCTTCAAGAATGTTGGGGAGCCCCACACACCCTTAAGGAACGCAGGTGGGGCCCAGCAGAAAAGGCCTCCGAAGGTGAACAGGCAGGCTGCGAAAGGAAGGCGAGGCTACCGCAGGGGACAGAGGCTGTAGGGATCCTGCCAGGCCTGGGACGCCTCCAAGCCACACACAGTGCCAAGCCACCTGCTCCACGCCAGGTCTGAGCCATGTCTGGCACGTCTGTAACTTGTGGCTGAACCCGATTTCGAGCAGTGCTGGCACAATTTGTACCTTCCCTTTTGTTTTTAGAACACTATGCTGAAAGCATTTTCATGAAAAATCTCACTATCAGTTACAAGCAGTATCTGAAAGCCCAAGACAGGGTAGTGTGACAGAATGCGACTCGACAGTGAAGTACTCTCTGAGTGGGTGGCCCTTGGACCTGAGACTCAACAGATGAGAAGGCACCAGGCAGGCGTGAAGAGCCAGGAGGTGGGAACAAGAAGTGCAAAGGTCCTGAGGCTGGAACACAAGTCACAGAAGGAACAACCGGAGGTGCCAGGCAGCGGGGTCCAGACTGTGTGCGCATCACGTACGTTCTTCCCTTCACAGAGACCCCGAGCGCCAAGAGTCAGAACGGAGGCTGGAAAGCAACCCCAGATGCCCCTACCAGCAGCGTGGAGGCTCGGGAAAGGAAGGAGAGGAGGAGCTGAGGGGCCAGGCAGATGTAGCAACACAAGGACAGTGTGGGCTCCCAGAACTAAATAAGGAAATCAATCAGAGAAGACCAGAGAACACAGTGATGGAGGAAACTAGGACATCAGCCAAGAGCTTGGGCTGTGGGAAGGGTTGAATGAGGCAGGCTAAGAGCAGGTTCCCTCCCTAGCTGGGACCAGTCCCAAATTATTCCCCATCACCCTTCTCCTGAGACCTCCTCTGAGGGCAGCCTGTGTAGCCACAGGCCAGCGACACTTCATGCTCCCAGACCCTCAAACTGCCCAAGAGTCCAGAACCTCCTACCGCCGATGGCAAGACGCTCACCCAAGCACCGGGGCAAGGGGTTGAGTCTGCACCCACGACCAAGAACATCCCCCACTGTCCAAATGGGGAGCCCGGTGTAGCCAGTGAGCTGCTGGGATACGGATCAGCCCTAGGAGAGCGGAGGCACCATTCATGCCATTCACTGGTGGTGCTAACCTGCGTAACGTCCCGAATGCCATCTCTCTAACAGCCCGTTTTTAGAATTAAATGCAATTAAAGGCATGGTAAGCGCTTGCCACACAGCAAAACACCCAAGACAGATCAGGTTCATTCCATCTTCCCGCTATTGGGGGGATTCAGTTCAGTCTGGGGCTCCACCACTTTCTGGCACTACGCCTTCCAGGAAAGGCACTTTCGACTTCGAGCCTGGGCATCGGTAACGCGGATAACATCGGCGCGCTTTTGCACGGGAGTGACACCCAGTAACTACTCCGTCTCAGGATCTCACTCACTCCTGGGGGAGGGAGGGGGGCGAGCCGGAGGCCGAAGGGCGGGAGAGGAAGGGGCAGGTCCGTACCCCAGACTCGGGGCTCCGCGGCCGGGGAGGCGGGGAGCAGCCCGCCCAGCCCCCTGGGAGCGCCTCACCTGGTGGTTCCAAATGGAGCCCTCTTTACTGCGCTCATCAGGGGTCAGACGCACGTACTGGCTCGTCAGCATAGTGCTGCCCTGGAAGTCCCAGAGGGGCATGGAGCTGGACCCTACACCTGTGGGCAGAGACGGACACAGACAGGTGCGCCAGGGCCACGGCAGAGCTGGTCTGGCCAGCGGCGGGAAGCCCACAAAGCCGCCGCCGCGCTCAGGGGGGAAAGCGCGCCCTCCCCAACCCCGGCCGGCCTCGCCCTCCACCCTCGCTCAGGCCCGCCCCAGGCCTCACCTTGGTAGGGCTTGATGAGCGAGTGCTCCCGCTTGAGGTGCTCACTGTTGCCGTCTGTGATATCCGCGGCCACCGCTCCCAGCAACAGGACAAACAGAAGTGTAGTGGGGCCAGGGCCGGGGCCGGGAAGCCCAGGCCTCCCCGGGCACCGCCGGCCCCAGCCCCAGCGCCAAATCCAGCCCTCCGCCGCCATTCTCCTCTCCTCTCGGCCACTTCCGTCCGAGGACTTCCGCCTTCCGGGTGTCCCATTTAATGGCCTTCGGCCGGAAACCGTCCAACCCGAGTGTCACCCGGGAGTTAAAAAGCGAAGCCTCGCAGCCGAGGTGGGCAACAGCTTTATTGGCTGGGAAGCCCCCATCCTGTTCCCTCTTCTGGGCGGCTCCAAGGCACCTGTGGGGGCAGCCCCCAGCGACGGGTTCTTACGAGCGACAGGGACTGCAGCCAATCACGGAACAGCACGTTCGGCTTGCGAGCCAACGAGGAGCAGAGAGGTGCTTCGAGCCCGGCGGGTGGCCGAGGGCGGTCCGTGAAGCTGGGCCCGCTGGACCTTGAAGTTTTTGTGGACTCCTCGGCGGGCTGGAGGCGCCCTCGGGCCCAGGCCACTAGTCGCAACCGTCGAATAACTTCTCCCAGTTCTGGGAAACGAAGCTCTAAGTTGAAGGCGGGGGCCTGGGTCCCAGCCCCAGCACCGCTGCGGCCTCACTGGGTGGCCCCGGATGAACCTTTAAGCCCTGTTCCTGACATCATCTGCCTTGACTCCAAGCCTTTGGGGACTTAAGTCACTTGGGGGGGTCTCCATCACCCCCAACTTCTGTGGCCCAGCTGAGCTGAAGTAGGAGGAGCAGATCCTGGCCTGGGACACCAGTGGTGGTTGGAATCCGGAAAAGTCCCCGAGAACTCCGGGAGCGCTGACTGTGGATTGGGCCGAAAACTGGTGACCTGCAGCCAAGTAGAACTCTTTTTGGCCTGCTAATGCTATTTGTTTCTTGTAAAATTTTTTGTTTATTGAAAAAGCAAAGTTACACAAAGAGAGGGAGGAAGAGATGATCTTCCATCTGCTGGTTCACACCTCAGAAGGCCACAACCACCAAAGCCAGGAGCTTCTTAAGGGTCTCCCACGTGGGTGCAGGGGCCCAAGGAGGTGGGCCATTCTCCACTTCCTCAGGGAGCTGGATCAGAAGTGGAGCATCTGGGTCTCCAACCAGCGCCCATATATGGGGTGCCGGCATTGCAGGCAGTGGCTTAACCCCTACACAACAGCGCCCACCCTCTGCCAATACTATTTCAATGAGTGACTTAACTACTAGATCTTTAAAATTGTTACTTATTTGAGCAGCAGAGAGATGGACAAAGAGAGCCCCTATCCACTGACTCCCCATACACCTGAGACCAGGGCTCGGGCCCCCACAGGAGTGACAGGTATGCAGACACGTGAGCCGTCACCTCCTTCCTCCTAGGGTGTGCTGTAGCAGGAAGCTGGGACTGGAAACAAACCCAGGCAGTTTCATACGGGGTGCTGGTGTCTCAGGTGGCAGCTTAACACTAGGCCAAACACCCTCCACTATTTTTAAATCAAGATAATTAAATTCACATTAGAAATCTAGATTTCAGGTGTTTTGCCAAAAAAAAGGGGGGAAGCAATTAGCCCCCTTTCCCACAGAGAATAATAGGCTGGTGGTGAGCCCCTTCCTCTTGTAAGCCGTCGTTGCCTGGTTGCTGATTTACAGCAACTGTCTGAATTAACGATCCCTGGTATAGCTCACAAGGTGAGATGTTGATTGATTGGCCCTTTATTTTAAGATGTTGCCCTCTTAATGAACTTATTCAGAATTGAATGCTGACATATCTTTCCTGGGCTATATGCTATTATATTTAATAGTCACTTTATTATTAAAATACTACAATTAATGATGTGTGTACTATGTGTGTGGTTTGTGTAGACCCTTCCAAAGATTCACCTTCACCTTTATAAACAAGGTCAGGTATTTTCCACTGGGCCTTCATGGGGATGGGATTGTTTTTTATTTTTTTAAATGTTCTTTTGGGGGTGCTGGCACTGTGGCTCAGTGGGTTAAAGCCCTGGCCTGAAGCACCAGCATCTCATATGGGCGCCGGTTTGAGTTCCAGCTGCTCCTCTTCTGATCCAGCTCTCTGCTATGGCCTGGGAAAGCAGTAGAAGATGGCCCAAGTCCTTGGGCCCCTGAACCCACCTGGGAGACCCGGAAGAAGCTCCTGGCTTCTGGCTTCAGATTGGTGCAGCTCTGGCCGTTGCAGCCAACTGGAGAGTGAACCATCGTATGGAAGACCTCTTTCTCTCTGCCTCTCCTTCTCTCTCTGTGTAACTCTGACTTTCAAATAAATAAATAAATAAATAAATCTTTTTTTTAAAGTTCTTTTTCAAGATTTATTTATTTTGAAAGAGTTACAGAGAGAGAAAGAGAGAGAGATCTTCCATCTACTGGCTCACTCCCAAGATGGCCATAATGGCCAGTGATGGGCCAGGCATGAGTGGCAGGGACCCAGACACTTGGGCCATCTTCCACTGCTTTTCCCAGGCTGTTAGCAGGGAGCTGGGTCAGAAGTGGAGCAGCCAGGACATGAATCAATGCCCATATGGGATGCCAGCATCACACGCAGTGACTTTACCCACTATGCCACAATGCCGGCCACAGGATTATTTTTTTAAAGATCGATTGATTGATTTGAAAGGCAAAGTGAAAGAGGTTGATCTATCTGTCTGCTAGTTGACTTCCAAATGCCTGCAGCAGGAGGGTTGGACTAGGCCAGGAGCTTAAACTTCATCTGGGTCTCCCACATGGGTGGCAGGGGCCAAGTACTTGGGCCATCTTCTGCTGCCTCCCAGGCTCATTAGCAGAAAGCTAGGTTGGAAGTGGAGGTGGGACTTGATCCCACGTGCTCCAGTGTGGGATATGGATGTCCCAAGTGGTGGCTCAACTCATTGCACCACGATGCCTGCCCTGAGGACCGGAATTTGTGTCGCTTTGGTCACTAGGAAGTAATAAGTGAAAGAGTGGATATTTGTTCCAGAACCTGGGACACTGCCATGAAGAATGAGGAGGAATCGGCCAGCAGAGGGAACGCATTCCCTGCAGGGTAGCAGAAGAGGCAAAGCCGGGGAGGGAGGCGTGAACGCAAAAGAATACGAGCAGTTTGGAATGACTGAGGAAGGAGCAGGGTCACTGGCTGAGGTCAAAGGTTGAAGGTCCTTCGCAGGATCCCATGGGGTGGTCCTGTGCACGAGAGAGATCTCTGTGGGTTTCTCTGGCTATGGTGAGAACAGACTGGAGGGGGAGCAGGTAGGGAGACTGACTTCACTGTGACCAGGGGAGAAAAGACAAGGCCCAGCTGGAAACATGAGAACCTGACAGCAGTGTTCCCACAGAGTGGAGAAAACTGGGCGAGGGCCACGCAATAGGAAGTCCGGGGTTAACTGGGGCCCCTGTGGTGAAGCTGTGGTCAGAGCTTGGATCTGAATCCACGGTACAGAAGTGGAGGAGGCATCTCTGCAGTTCCAGGAGTGGCCAGACTTGGGGGGATCCCCAGCCAGCACCTCTGACTAGGCTTTTGGGAGGAAGAGGATGAGCGATTGGCACCTGGGCTGCTGGCGGCCCAAGGCTGGCTCTTGGGCACCCCCCAGCACATTCATAGCTTAGCAGATCTCTAACAGGGTTGAAAACCTTGAGCCACTCACTGCTTTCAGAGCCTCAGCTCCCCAATCTGTAAAATGGGGATAAAATGAAGATGTGTTGTGGGGGACATCGTGAGCTATCAAACACCCTGCAAACCTGAGTCCAGATCAATGGCACAGCAGACAGGCAGTCCCCACTCATCATCACCCCACAGCCCCCTCCTGGGCACCCTGATATGGTCACACACTTTCCTAAGACCACCACTGGCAATGCCCCAGGCCCACCCCTCACACACAGCAAGTCTAATGGAATCCCTGTGTCTGAGTGACCTGAGCAAGGTGTATAGAAAGAGGCAAATCAGGGCCGGGAGAAGAGGTATGTTAACTGGGGTCACGTTGACTGCTACAGCAAGCAGGCCCTAAGGTAGCTGTGGCTTCAAGGAGCTGAAGTCTGACGCGGTGTGCTGAGTCAGTGGGCAGCCTGCTGTCATGCACAGACCCTGGCTCTTTCCTTCCTTCCTTCTCCATAACCCCCTAGGGCCTATCAGCTTCTGTATCCAGCCAACTAAAGAAGAGATGGAGTGTCGGGACCGGCGCTGTGGTGTAGTGGGCTAAGGCACCCGTTTGAATCCCAGCTGCTCCTCTTCCAATCCAGCTCTCTGCTGTGGCCTGGGAAAGCAGTGGAAGATGCCCAAGTCCTTGGGCCCCTGCATCCATGTGGGAGACCCAGAAGAAGCTCCTGGCTCCTGGCTTTGGATTGGTCTGGCTCCAGCTGTTGTGGCCATTTGGGGAGTGAACCAGTGGATGGAAGATCTCTCTCTTTCTCTGTCTCTCCGTCTCTCTGTAACTGTGTCTCTCAAATAAATAGATAAAATATTTTTAAAAAGAAAAAAAAATGGAGCGTGTCACCGCACATACCTCCAGCCTTTGGCACTTGATTCACATTCAGTTGCTGGGAAGTTGGCTCATGGCCGCAGCTGACTCCAAGGGAGCCTGGGAGATTAAGTTTAGCCATGTGCCCAAGAAAGGGACATGAACTTGTGGTTTCAGAAATATCCATTGTCAGGATCAGCACTGTGGCGTAGTGGGTAAAGCTGCCGCCTGCAACCCCCGCATCCCATATGGACGCTGGCTCCAGTCCTGGCTGTTCCATTTCCTATCCAGCTCCCTGCTAATGCGCCTGGGAAAGCAGCAGAAGATGCCCCAAGTGTTTGGGTCCCTGCACCCACGTGGGAGACCTGGAAGAAGCTCCTGACTCCTGGCTTTGATCTGGCCCAGCACTGTTTATTGTGGCCATTTGGGGACTGAACCAGTGGATGGAAGATCTCTGTCTCTGCCTCTCTAACTCTACCTTTCAAATAAATAAGTAAAAAAAAAAAAAAAAAAAAAGACTCTAAGGAAGGCCACACTCAGAGTAAAATATAAGGCCTTGTAGAGGGGACATACATGTGCAAGAAAGAGACAAGCCAAGGGCCGGCATCGCGGCTCAATAGGCTAATCCTCCGCCTAGCGGCGCTGACACACGGAGTTCTAGTCCCGGTCGGGGCACCAGATTCTGTCCCGGTTGCCCCTCTTCCAGGCCAGCTCTCTGCTGTGGCCAGGGAGTGCAGTGGAGGATGGCCCAAGTCCTTGGGCCCTGTACCTCATGGGAGACCAGGAGAAGCACCTGGCTCCTGCCTTAGGATCAGCGCGATGCGCAGGCCG